AATATAGATCATTACATAACTGAATGCCACCACAGTCAAGTGTATTCACAACACTTTTGGTGGTAGAGATGTGGAACGTAAGTTAACGAATGCCCCTCTCGTGCAGTGTTTTGACACTGTTGCCATGCGCCCATGATTCTAACATAGCGGATTGTTGGTGCCATTAGCGTTCCTACCGCGATCGTCAGTGTTGGTAATCTGAGTCCTTGCCTATGTCACAAGAGCGACATTCCGACTGTTGCAGACCTTTACTGATTATAGAACTATGCAATAAGGGCCAGCAGTTGTAATGTTAGTTCTTGAGGTTAGCTTGAGGTTGAGCTTTGTTCAGGGAAGAATAAAATATACTTACTTCTGCACAAGCCGTAACATAAGTATTTCATTATTGATTTTGCACTGCTGAGCCACACGACCAGTAATTAGAGAGTGAAAGCGAAACCTCCCCAACCTAATCTTTATAAGAAGACAATATTCCTGTTCACCTGTACACCACCTGGACAGCAATATAATTTATATACTCTAGTCAACAATTGAGAATAAAAAAATATTTTATTTATATATTATGCGTCTACAGAGTGCGTGTCAAATCGGGAAAATGTTTTGTTGAGTTATTCACTTTCTCTATTGATGCAATAACAAACCATCTACGCATCTGAATTGTCCACATAGCTGGACCCTTAGCGTCAAAATTGACCAAAAAATATCTTTTTATTAATATATAATATATTTATTGCTAAATATGAATAACGAAAATAATACAAAAATATTTTATATTCATGACTAATATGACTGTAAACTAAAGTACATGTCCCATAAAAAAGACAAAATTGAGGTAGACATCATTTTTTTATTTTGGAGAAAAAATAAAAATATTTTATTGGTGAATGTCCATGCAAACGTTTTACTTTCTTCTATTTATCAAAATAAATTGAACGCAGTAACGTAAAGTAGCTCATTGATGTACTTAGTATCTGAAAATATTCGTATATGATACATAAGCTTTTAAATATTAATAACATATTTACCGCAGTAAAGCTTTGAAGAGATAATGTTGAAAATTTAAAAGCTGTTATCCTCACAGGTCGCTGACTACAAAGTATCATATATTTCAAATTAATTAGAAATTCTTTGTTGTATGAAATTTCCTCCCATTTGCAATTGTATAAATGCCATGCTGTAATTGTAGACTGCGAAAGATAGTATAAAACAAGTTAGAAAGCTCTAGTCGGGGTGCCCGACTAGGAGATACCCTGATCCCAGTCCTCTGAGTTTTTTAATATTTTCCGTAGTTCATATCGAGTATTCAAAAAAAAAGAAAACAAATAAAAAACGACATTGCACGACCATGCTTCGAACCCGGACTGTTTGCGCAACGTGCAACAACTCTACCAACACCGCCACCTCATAATTAAAAAATAAATAAAACAATAAAAAATATCTCGTCGTTGAACCCGAGACTAAACGCTAACGAGCGCCGCCTCTACCAGCACAACCACTGCACTGCTTACTCGAGCAGTTGCAAATTTTAAGTTAAGTAGGAGCTAATAATTCAGCACAATTCAATCGCAATTTCGATTCCTCGAATAGAAAAGAATACACGCATTTGAATGTATGTGTGCACACGTAAGCGTGCACGTGGCGCTGATGACATGTGCTTTTGCAAATTGGCCAAAGGTTTTGTTTAATAACTTCTGTTTTACTTAATGGATTTTAATGAAATTTTCAGCATATGCTCTACATATTCTATTGTCTTGGGAGATATACAAACGCCGTCACATAGCGGCTCTAGTTCCAACTAAACTTAAAATTTAAGAATTTGGGGAAATTTGGAGCCGGTATCCAAAATCCAACAAAAATCAAAATTACATAAAATATACATAAATCTAAATACTAAATAAAAATTGGTGGCTCTAGCTCTTAAGACGTCCGACGAGACGAGATATAATTTATTAACTGCATTTCAATCATGTTTTTATTCGATAACAATTAAATGCGAATAATTATCGAATATTTCAAACAAACTTGACCTGCGCGTGCTATACACGGACCTACAAAAAAATTCAAGTCTCTAGCTCTTATAGATGCTGAGATCGACGTGTTCACACATACGAACAGACGGACAGGACTCGATCGGCTCTGCTTGTCGTCCTGATCAAGAATATATAAATTATGTAATTGTGTCGATATAATAAACTTCGGTTATGAAGATTATGTTGGGGAGTTGACTTCCTCCCTTGACCTACTGGCCTTTGGGTACAGTGGTCTTATAAAAAGATAAAAGCAATTGTCTTAACGGCTTGTGCCGGAGCAAATACGATTTATTCCAATGAGTATCAACGTAAAACTAAAACTTAAACTCAAAGTCAAAGCTAAAGCTAGAAGCAAAAACGACCAGAGTCATAGCCGGCAGTGCCGACTCAGCATAAGACTCAGCACAAAAGCTCAATAGAATTGTTAACATTCAACGCGCGGTTTGCGCAAGTATCATGTTTACCGTTCCTATTCAGCAGCGGGGGCATTGCACTGATTTGTCAGCGGAATGCGAGTGCGAGAGTAGCTTAATATTAAAGGGCCTAGCGTGCGATGGTTACTTGTTAACTATTCCCCCACCAAGTTCGTGAGTGTCCTCGGTCACGTTGTATTTGCTGATGGCTTTTTGTAGCTCCTTCGATGATTGTCTTCGCTTAAAAATATGTTAGATGATGATAAAACAATTGCATGCGATGCTCAAGATGATGCCAATGGTTAGCCAGCTGCATATGTACCGGTCGACTCCAATTCTTCCTTAAAGTTCTGGATGGTTTGTAAGTTCTTGTTATTCATCATGTGGAGTTTGTGGCATGCTTAATATTGTGTCATGGCTGATGATGTTTAGAAGAGGTGACCCAGCAATGCCTGGCGTCTTATTCACCATCTCGCGCCGGTTGACATATTTAGTGCCATTGACGACTGCAGAGAGCTGGAAAATGACGATATGTGTCCCATTTGTTGCGATTTCTGGGCCGTCGTCTGTAATGACTTTAGCTGAGCTCTCGTTGATAATAATGATGCCTTCATCCACTTCTATGATGGGCTTCAAATGGCTTGGCTGTGCGCGGCAAAACGCTTGTGTGGCTAGTTTGCATATCGCAGTGTAGCTGGTTGTGACGCATTCGTTGACTGCTAATACGTCGTCGTTGCATTCGGCAATGGTATCCTCTTCTAGTTGTATTGCGACGTGTTGATGTGGGACAGGGAATATTGTGATCTTCTTGCAGAAGGACTTGATTCTAGGGTGTGCTATTAGTATGTTTTCGGACTGAAGGATTTTAGTTTTTGCCGCTTCGCTTAGGCTGACTATGGGTATTTCTATAGGATGTTCATCTAAAATTGTCTTTAAATCGTTATGATCGAAAATGATAGGATTTATAATATCAGATTTAGCCAGTGTTATTGTAAGTATCAAATTTTGGATTTGGGTTATTAACATTCTGTTTCGTGCTAACAACGCCTCATATAAATGCGGGGTGTCGACAAATTCCTTCTTTTTAGTCTTAATTATTTCGTTTACCGTCGCTGTGATTTTATTAATCTGTTTCTGAGTTTCTGTGTTTATCTCTATCTGTTAGTTATTTGCATTAGCCAGTTGTGCTTCAGACCATTTAATTTTTTCGTAATCGGACGCATCTGGAGTACCAGCTATTACTTTGAGCGCAGTGCCTAAAAAATCTAAGCTTCTCGCCATTCTGTGGTGTATTTTTATTACGGACAACAAATTTTTATATGTTCTATGTCTATGTCTAAAAGCTTTCGCATATGCGATTGGGGAAACAATTTTGACAATTTTGCTGTCTCATCTGCTATATTCGTAAACTCGGTTAAGTTACAGGAGTGCCTGAGGAAATCTCGTTACTCCCATACCAACACCTTTCCATCTTCTATTGGTATGTAGCTAGAATGGGAATAGTCGATGATCCGACTATGTGCTGTCCCTAATAATAAGAGGATCGTAAGGCTAATCCTGTAAGAGGAGCGGAAAGAAAAACGGGAGGTGAAAAAGAATAGTAGAGCATTTTATTTCTATTTTTAGCTTATGTTGAAAAGTGTGGATAATTCTTACTTGAGATTGTCCTTGTGGACCTGCCTCCCCTTAATGAGAACTTAGGTTCCCAAGTCTGCTTCTATTACGTCCTCCGTGAATAATGGGGTCAACTTGTTGCCTAGCCTTCTGTTATTTTTTACGATAACTTTTTCGCCTACCTCAAAGATTCTGTTTTGTCTATCCGGGTTACACCTTGCAAGATTGTCTTGCTGCGCTTTGGTGATTTTGTCTTTGATGGTTTGCCTAAATTCGCTAGGTGCTGCATATATAACCTCTATAGGCTTTTGGTTTGTGACTGAATGTATGGTTCGATTGTATGCTACCGTTGCCCTCATAATAAGTTCTGTCGAGTCGGAGGACATCTTGTCCATTCTAAAAGCCATCGCAATGTCACCTAGAGTGCTGTGGAAACGATCCACTTGCCCATTCGAGCTGCTGTGTAGTGGGGGTGCATTGACAACATCTATGTTATAGCCATTTTTAAGAAGTGATGTGATAGTTTCCGAGTTAAACGAAGCTTCGTTGTCACAATATATTGTTTTCACTTCTGGGAAAAAATTTATCAGTTGGATACAGATACAGAGTGCGTGTCAAATCGGGAAAATGTTTTGTTGAGTTATTCACTTTCTCTATTGATGCAATAACAAACCATCTACGCATCTGAATTGTCCACATAGCTGGACCCTTAGCGTCAAAATTGACCAAAAAATATCTTTTTATTAATATATAATATATTTATTGCTAAATATGAATAACGAAAATAATACAAAAATATTTTATATTCATGACTAATATGACTGTAAACTAAAGTACATGTCCCATAAAAAAGACAAAATTGAGGTAGACATCATTTTTTTATTTTGGAGAAAAAATAAAAATATTTTATTGGTGAATGTCCATGCAAACGTTTTACTTTCTTCTATTTATCAAAATAAATTGAACGCAGTAACGTAAAGTAGCTCATTGATGTACTTAGTATCTGAAAATATTCGTATATGATACATAAGCTTTTAAATATTAATAACATATTTACCGCAGTAAAGCTTTGAAGAGATAATGTTGAAAATTTAAAAGCTGTTATCCTCACAGGTCGCTGACTACAAAGTATCATATATTTCAAATTAATTAGAAATTCTTTGTTGTATGAAATTTCCTCCCATTTGCAATTGTATAAATGCCATGCTGTAATTGTAGACTGCGAAAGATAGTATAAAACAAGTTAGAAAGCTCTAGTCGGGGTGCCCGACTAGGAGATACCCTGATCCCAGTCCTCTGAGTTTTTTAATATTTTCCGTAGTTCATATCGAGTATTCAAAAAAAAAGAAAACAAATAAAAAACGACATTGCACGACCATGCTTCGAACCCGGACTGTTTGCGCAACGTGCAACAACTCTACCAACACCGCCACCTCATAATTAAAAAATAAATAAAACAATAAAAAATATCTCGTCGTTGAACCCGAGACTAAACGCTAACGAGCGCCGCCTCTACCAGCACAACCACTGCACTGCTTACTCGAGCAGTTGCAAATTTTAAGTTAAGTAGGAGCTAATAATTCAGCACAATTCAATCGCAATTTCGATTCCTCGAATAGAAAAGAATACACGCATTTGAATGTATGTGTGCACACGTAAGCGTGCACGTGGCGCTGATGACATGTGCTTTTGCAAATTGGCCAAAGGTTTTGTTTAATAACTTCTGTTTTACTTAATGGATTTTAATGAAATTTTCAGCATATGCTCTACATATTCTATTGTCTTGGGAGATATACAAACGCCGTCACATAGCGGCTCTAGTTCCAACTAAACTTAAAATTTAAGAATTTGGGGAAATTTGGAGCCGGTATCCAAAATCCAACAAAAATCAAAATTACATAAAATATACATAAATCTAAATACTAAATAAAAATTGGTGGCTCTAGCTCTTAAGACGTCCGACGAGACGAGATATAATTTATTAACTGCATTTCAATCATGTTTTTATTCGATAACAATTAAATGCGAATAATTATCGAATATTTCAAACAAACTTGACCTGCGCGTGCTATACACGGACCTACAAAAAAATTCAAGTCTCTAGCTCTTATAGATGCTGAGATCGACGTGTTCACACATACGAACAGACGGACAGGACTCGATCGGCTCTGCTTGTCGTCCTGATCAAGAATATATAAATTATGTAGTTGTGTCGATATAATAAACTTCGGTTATGAAGATTATGTTGGGGAGTTGACTTCCTCCCTTGACCTACTGGCCTTTGGGTACAGTGGTCTTATAAAAAGATAAAAGCAATTGTCTTAACGGCTTGTGCCGGAGCAAATACGATTTATTCCAATGAGTATCAACGTAAAACTAAAACTTAAACTCAAAGTCAAAGCTAAAGCTAGAAGCAAAAACGACCAGAGTCATAGCCGGCAGTGCCGACTCAGCATAAGACTCAGCACAAAAGCTCAATAGAATTGTTAACATTCAACGCGCGGTTTGCGCAAGTATCATGTTTACCGTTCCTATTCAGCAGCGGGGGCATTGCACTGATTTGTCAGCGGAATGCGAGTGCGAGAGTAGCTTAATATTAAAGGGCCTAGCGTGCGATGGTTACTTGTTAACTATTCCCCCACCAAGTTCGTGAGTGTCCTCGGTCACGTTGTATTTGCTGATGGCTTTTTGTAGCTCCTTCGATGATTGTCTTCGCTTAAAAATATGTTAGATGATGATAAAACAATTGCATGCGATGCTCAAGATGATGCCAATGGTTAGCCAGCTGCATATGTACCGGTCGACTCCAATTCTTCCTTAAAGTTCTGGATGGTTTGTAAGTTCTTGTTATTCATCATGTGGAGTTTGTGGCATGCTTAATATTGTGTCATGGCTGATGATGTTTAGAAGAGGTGACCCAGCAATGCCTGGCGTCTTATTCACCATCTCGCGCCGGTTGACATATTTAGTGCCATTGACGACTGCAGAGAGCTGGAAAATGACGATATGTGTCCCATTTGTTGCGATTTCTGGGCCGTCGTCTGTAATGACTTTAGCTGAGCTCTCGTTGATAATAATGATGCCTTCATCCACTTCTATGATGGGCTTCAAATGGCTTGGCTGTGCGCGGCAAAACGCTTGTGTGGCTAGTTTGCATATCGCAGTGTAGCTGGTTGTGACGCATTCGTTGACTGCTAATACGTCGTCGTTGCATTCGGCAATGGTATCCTCTTCTAGTTGTATTGCGACGTGTTGATGTGGGACAGGGAATATTGTGATCTTCTTGCAGAAGGACTTGATTCTAGGGTGTGCTATTAGTATGTTTTCGGACTGAAGGATTTTAGTTTTTGCCGCTTCGCTTAGGCTGACTATGGGTATTTCTATAGGATGTTCATCTAAAATTGTCTTTAAATCGTTATGATCGAAAATGATAGGATTTATAATATCAGATTTAGCCAGTGTTATTGTAAGTATCAAATTTTGGATTTGGGTTATTAACATTCTGTTTCGTGCTAACAACGCCTCATATAAATGCGGGGTGTCGACAAATTCCTTCTTTTTAGTCTTAATTATTTCGTTTACCGTCGCTGTGATTTTATTAATCTGTTTCTGAGTTTCTGTGTTTATCTCTATCTGTTAGTTATTTGCATTAGCCAGTTGTGCTTCAGACCATTTAATTTTTTCGTAATCGGACGCATCTGGAGTACCAGCTATTACTTTGAGCGCAGTGCCTAAAAAATCTAAGCTTCTCGCCATTCTGTGGTGTATTTTTATTACGGACAACAAATTTTTATATGTTCTATGTCTATGTCTAAAAGCTTTCGCATATGCGATTGGGGAAACAATTTTGACAATTTTGCTGTCTCATCTGCTATATTCGTAAACTCGGTTAAGTTACAGGAGTGCCTGAGGAAATCTCGTTACTCCCATACCAACACCTTTCCATCTTCTATTGGTATGTAGCTAGAATGGGAATAGTCGATGATCCGACTATGTGCTGTCCCTAATAATAAGAGGATCGTAAGGCTAATCCTGTAAGAGGAGCGGAAAGAAAAACGGGAGGTGAAAAAGAATAGTAGAGCATTTTATTTCTATTTTTAGCTTATGTTGAAAAGTGTGGATAATTCTTACTTGAGATTGTCCTTGTGGACCTGCCTCCCCTTAATGAGAACTTAGGTTCCCAAGTCTGCTTCTATTACGTCCTCCGTGAATAATGGGGTCAACTTGTTGCCTAGCCTTCTGTTATTTTTTACGATAACTTTTTCGCCTACCTCAAAGATTCTGTTTTGTCTATCCGGGTTACACCTTGCAAGATTGTCTTGCTGCGCTTTGGTGATTTTGTCTTTGATGGTTTGCCTAAATTCGCTAGGTGCTGCATATATAACCTCTATAGGCTTTTGGTTTGTGACTGAATGTATGGTTCGATTGTATGCTACCGTTGCCCTCATAATAAGTTCTGTCGAGTCGGAGGACATCTTGTCCATTCTAAAAGCCATCGCAATGTCACCTAGAGTGCTGTGGAAACGATCCACTTGCCCATTCGAGCTGCTGTGTAGTGGGGGTGCATTGACAACATCTATGTTATAGCCATTTTTAAGAAGTGATGTGATAGTTTCCGAGTTAAACGAAGCTTCGTTGTCACAATATATTGTTTTCACTTCTGGGAAAAAATTTATCAGTTGGATAATGGGTATTTTTATGTCCACTATTGTGCGGGACGACAGTGGTTGTACCACGGCAAATTTTGAAAAATTGTCGACACAGGTAAGGAAAAGTTTCTTGTCTGTGGAGTATATGTCTATATGTAGCATTTCGCCAGCATATGACGGTATTGGGGTCACCCCCATTTCCTGTTTTTGTGGGTGCCTGTTATACTTTGTTCTGGTGCATGCTTTGCAGTTTATGACGGCCTCATTTGTCATTTTAGACATATTCGGAAAGTAATATTCACGGAGAATTTGTTTTACATTTTATTGTGCTGCCCTGTGGGCTCTGTTGTGTTCGACTGCGATTATTTCTAACTGGTCATTTTTGTTAGTAATGTCTTCCACCATGTTCTTACAGTGCCAGAATTTTGTAGCAGGGTAATTTAATACCAAGTCGTGTTGGACACAGGCTAAAGTCGGCAAATCACAATGTATTGCATTTTCAGCGTCTGCGACAATGAGTGGTTTCAAATTTTTTGAAAAGACTATTCTTATCTGTGAAGTGAATAATGTGACGGATCTTTTTACCAAAAAGTAAAATGTCTTGTTTCCATTCGAACCGTGCTTCTTCTAAAACAATTTGGTTTTTGAAGCAGTTAAGTGTTTTTTTCGGTTGTCTCGACCGTGTAGGTCAGTGAAAGTTCGCTATGAACAGTAGCAGCGTTAGAATGGGGTTCATTTTCTAAGGCATTCACGTTTTGCCTTGATAGGGCATCCGCAACTAAATTTTCCTTCCCTGGTTTGTAGAGCACTTTCGCATTGTGTTCGTCAATAAAGGATTTCCATCTTTTGATCTTGGCGTTAGTATTTCTGTCCGAGACAGAGAAGGTAAGGGGTTGGTGATCAGTGAAGATGTTAATCTCCCTTGTGCCATATAGATAGTTATGTAACTTGCCTAATGCCCATACGATGGCCAATAGCTCTCTTTCGTTAGTGGCATAGTGTGCCTCGCTTTGTTTTAAAGCTCGTGAAATCATGGTGATCGGTCTACCCCTTTGGGATAGAACCGCGTCGATGCCATCGATTGAGGCATCAGTGGTCAGGTCAAAAGGCTGTTTGAAATCTGGATACATGAGCATGACATCTTCTGATGAATTCAATTTCGACTTTTTTGGATCTGTGTTTGCTGACAGAGCCATTTTCTCCTTTAAGGATGTTAGTTAAGGGCCTTGCTATTGATGCGAAATTCCTGATAAACCCTCTATAGTAACTAGCGAGGCCGAGAAATGGCCGGAGACTAAACAAATTTTTTGGCTCGGGGTACTCTTTGAAGAATTTCGTTTTTTCCTGAGCTACTCTCATGTTGGCTTCACACAGGCATTTTAATACCGTGTCGATATGGCGAACATGATCGGCTTCATTTTCGGAAAATATTATTACATAGTCTACATATACATAACATATTTTTCTTATTTGTTCCCTCAAAACATCGTCAATGGCTCTGTGAAAGATGCTTCCTGCATTTTTTAAGCCGAAGGGCAATCGGCAGAATTTGTACTTGCCACCATTTATT